CTTTTTCTATTCTGGCATTCCTAGAGCCTCTATTCGTAATAGATATCTTGAACTCTCAACGCTGGAATCTCGGCGCAAGGTGTTTGATGTGTGCATGGTTCACAAACTTCTGTACCAGTGTAACGATTTTGGGTCCTTTGATGTATATATATACAGGGCATTCTCATACGAGAGGTGAGCGGATTAAAATTATGCTTCCTGGGCCCAGAACAAGTGTAAGAGCCAGAAGTTTCACCTTTAGAGCTGGTAGCTTGTACAAAAAAGTAACTAAAAATTCGATCGTCCCTAAATCTCTGAGTAGGTTCAAGCGAAACATGACAGTGGTTCTAGCCAAGTATGAGCTTTCCTAGTTTTCTGAGACTGATCAATTGATTCCATAACTCTTATCAACATTTGGGTTCAAATTAGATTATGAGTTATATAGGTCTTTTTATTCGCATGTCAACTGCTTTTATCTTTGTGTTGTACGGCTTATTACGTTGGTTTTAGAAAGTTGTTTTTTTACTGCGTTTGCCTTAGCAGCGTAATAACATAAACATAAACATAAACATATATATAATACATTATCCTTCTATTTTATAAAGCGCTAACTTTGTGTGTCGGTTTGTATGTCTGTATGTGTGTGCGTATGTATGTATGTATGTATGTATGTATGTATGTATGTATGTATGTATGTATGTATGTATGTATGTATGTATGTATGTATGTATGTATGTATGTATGTATGTATGTATGTATGTATGTATGTATGTATGTATGTATGTATGTATGTATGTATGTATGTGTGTCCGTCCGCAAAATGAAGTGAGTGAGAAGGAAGCTCATGGGATAAACAAAACCGCGCTAACAAATCGGGTAGCTTACAGGATTTGAGATATCAATGTTTTGTAGCAGGATAGTTGTGATAACACTCTTAGGGCTATATAAACACCTGCTTAGCACACTTCCGTTCATTCCACATGGTGCTGCAGTGGCAGCTGGAGGGCAGTGGAGAGAGGAAGGGAGGATGAGGAAGGGAAGCGAAAAATCTACCGTCATATCATGATTGTGTCCCTTCTACTGTATGAAACACCATTGTGTTGCATACGCGTCACTTCCAGGAGGTGTTGGTGTCACAGGAGGAAGGGACCATAGCGGAGGATAGAAAGCTTGCGCAGGAAAGGAAGGTCCCGGCGGTTGACGGGGGACTAATCTGGTATTTTAATAAGCGGCCATCGCTCTATCTGGCGTGGGTGTTAAACCCGTTGATATAATCGCCTGGGGGTTTGACAAGTTATAATGAGTAAACAGTTTATCGATGCATACAAAGATTAGCTCCGCGAGTAGTTGTAGTGATCCTTGAAATAGCCTTTCATCAGAGAACTTCACTCTCAATAGTTCCTGCTTTCTTTCTAAGCTCACCTAAGTTTATTTTCCAGCAGAAGCTCGTTTAGGTCGAAACAGAGGTCTACCAACACCAGGATACGGGGCGAGAAAGATTGCTCTAATTCGCGGCGGTACGATGTTCTCTTCCCCTTCCCCCCCCCCCACAGATAACGAAAGTCAGTACAACCCCTCCCCATAATCAGTTCGAAATCTATGGCAGGGTCAACCGGGCGTGCCGCAGAGAAGGTAGTTTGGGTGGGTGGAGGCAAAGGAAAGGTTGATCGTATCTGAAAGTTGAAGTGGCGTTATGGGCTATGGAGCAGGGTCACGTTTTGAAGGAGTTCGTTGAGTTTCCGAAGAATCCGAGATTAGCCGCCTTATGACAACAAATTGCCTTCCTCACCATCTTTCCGCTTCGACTTCGATGGTGGAGGAGTGTGTGGTGACAGGAAAGGATGCGGGGATCGTATCTGGAGGGGGAGCTCCCCAGGGCTAGGTGGTGGGGGTCGAATCGATGCATCTCCAAGTGGAGGGACTCAAATTTTTGGAGTTGGAACGCAAACGGTTGACCCTGCTTCATGGTCGATCCTCAATAGTATCATTTATTCTGCTACTACGTGACCCATTCCCAATTGCGCTTCCGGACTCCAAAAATAGCCGTCAGGCCAAGGTGGAGGGAGAAGCGTATGTGACTACTGAAGCAGCTAACTCTATGTTTCACGCCCCCATCTATCCTCCTCACTGTGTCCACCTTATCCATCTATAGGCGTATTCATAGTCGGTCGCCCGACGTAACGATCGCACAGCATTGGATGCGTATCGATCGTCAGTCGTTTACGCAGAGTGGATGACCGATAAGTATCTTACGCCAGGTTAGTAGTGCTTCATAGTGGTAGCTGATTTTTGGTAAATGATAGTTACAACTAGTGACAAATGATAGAATACAACTGTAGGCCAATCATTTCATTGGCAGACTAATTTAGTACATTTTGTGGAGGCCGTCGTCACTTGTGGTGTATGGTCTGCAACCCGGCGCTCTTCTCGTTTTGAAAGAGAGCATACAGTCGATATCCGAAAGTTGGGGTAGGCGTGTCACCGGAAGTGACGTGCACTTGATGGACGTGGCGTGGATAGCTGTCGCAGCATGCTTTGCTGAGATCCCACAGATGGGTTGAAAATCCATCCGCATAGATCTAGCAAGTGCCTTTTCCGATGACACGCCGACCCCAACTATCGGATATCGAGTATATGTGTGTAAAAGTAATTACGTTTTGAGAGTACGAAACTGTATCGTTGAAACTAATAAATTTACAGGAATCTTTTCTTTCCCTAGCGTGAGGGAAGGATTCTACAGGGCCCGGGAGCGTTCGCTGCGTAGTGACGTTCGTAATTGGCTTGAGTTATTCCATCCCTGCACACACGCATTATGTAAACACTTCTATGTCAAGAAATACAAGGGCGATGCAATGAAGAATCGTGTTCCACCTTCCGAAACCATGGCTACAGCAACCGCGCTCCATTGCGAATCCGGTTTTCAATTATTGAGCACCATGGATGGCAATTTACTTGTAATGCAGTGACAATATTCAATGTTTAGTTTTTCGGCGAACATAGAGAAACGTCTCAACCAGTTTGACGTGCGGGTGTGTGAAAAAGATCTGTTAAGATTTTTTTCCTTGTATGGAATGTAGAATGCATGTCGTTCTCATGCACTTTGCATTCTTCGCTCTTACTTTCTTTTTGATATACTATGGTTAGATTTGCTTGAGGATAGTATATATCGTAAGATCTGTTCAATTCACATTTATAACTTGTGTTCCCATTGTAATCTTGGTGCTTATCATCTATTGAGTTCCGAACTGTTCGATTGTAGTGTATTGTAAAAGGTAAGTAGTTTCAGCTGGAACAGTCGATGAGTGAAAGGTTTTCTAGTCATTAATATACTTGCTTTTGCAGTCGAATCAAAAACGGGATGCGAACGTTCCCTTGATTGATGCGAAAAATACGTCACGCCTTTTTGTGTTGAAATTAACGCAATGATTCGCCCGATTTGATCGACTTTGACGGATTCTAAATCATCAGAACTAGTCAATTCATAAATTTGAACTATTCTGCGGTGATTGGTCTCTCCACTAGGAGTTGGAACGGGAGAGTTGATGCCCAGTGAGTAGGTTATTCGCACCATGCCCATTCCGATTCAACATCCCACAGCTTCATACCATGTTCCTGTACATGATGTTTTGACACCTCAGAAGAACAAGATCTACAAATTGTCATTCGTCATAAAATCACTCCACAACTACAAACTGAGCGGAGGGGAACGGGAATGGGGGTATGTATGTATATTATTTATTTTTGTCTACTAGGAGCCCCTCCCAAAATAGTATGACAGGGCTTTGCGTGTACGATTTTATTTTGATTTGATTATCCATGGAGCTTTGTTCCAGTGCCTGCAGGCTGAGCTAGAAGCGAATTCTGAAGTATCACCGCACAGTATCACGTTTTTGTCATGCTATCATCGCTATCATGCTTTGAATGTGAATGTGTGGTGCCTATTCGCAGTACTGTAACATTAAAAAAGCGTAAGTTATGCGCTATAGCAAGAGAGCGCAGAAGCTAGCGTGATTGTAAAGCGATGATTCTTTCCGCATTCTGCATGGCACGTTCTCTCAATTTGTGGAGATGGTGTGACGCAGTATAGGCACCGGGATATTGGTAATCGCGAAAGGAGTGACATTCGCGCACGCCGAGTCATTGTTTGTCTCCGTTTCGGTCCAGAGATCGTTCATACTCTTCAAGTTCAATATGATCGCAATGCATAATATTAGTGGAATGTAATTATTGAGTATGGACTCTATAAGTATGCGTCACCTCAGTCGGAGGAAGTGTCTAATCATCAGTAGTCTAGGAAAATTAACTCAAGACCATTCTCAACAAAGGTTGAGGATTTCGCTGCTAGTGGCTTGGGGGGACACGCGGGCCGCGACGTTCGCTCGCGTGGCGCCTCCTAAAGCGCTAGCTATAAACTCAGACACCAAACTTGTCACGCAGAATGCAAGTGACTGTGCTCACTCTCCCCCCCCACCCCTAGATGCCTAATCCCTGGCCTCAGGAGAGTTAAAACGAAGTGCAGAGGCGAGCGAAGCTCCGCGTCGCCGCGTGGTCCCCCCAACCCACTTAGCACTTGAGATTCCATAATCTCTCCATTTGTGCATAATGGAAAGCCAAATAATTTGCAGAAGCGTAGCTCCTTGAAGGCTTGTTTATCAATCTCCTTCTTAAGCATACGAAGTTATTACGGTGAAGAACTATTTCTGGACTATTCAACTATTACAACCCCAAAATCTCAAAATTTTATTTTTCGTCGAAACTTTGTCTATAGGGGTAATTCGATGCCCTGATTACGAAATGACATTCATTTTTGATGCTGGCGCCATCTGGCGCCAGTTGGCGTCACCTTGTCACGAGTTGTTTTCACCAAATTCGGTGTAAACTTCTGTATAGGGGTTATTTGGTGTCCTGATTACGAATATGACATTCATTCTTGGCGCTGGCGCCATTTGGCGCCTATTTTCCGCTCGTCTGCGCCCTCTCACTGATTAGATCGCGATCAGGACTAAGCCTTTGGGAGAGGAGGCTCCGAAATGAGTAAGCCGCGCTGCAACTTGCCTCATGGTGCCTGGTTTACCCACTTTGAGCTTCCTTACCCCCAAGCTTAGTCTCAGGTACTATGTCAGAGAGCCCCGAAAAACGAGAAATATGCGTTCAACAGCGCCAAAAACGAATGTCATATTCGTAATCAGGACACCAAATAACCCCTATACAGAAGTTTACACCGAATTTGGTGAAAACAGTGTCGTGACAAGGTGACGCCAACTGGCGCCAGATGGCGCCACCGCTAAAAATGAATGTCATTTTCGTAATCAGGGCATCGAATTACCCCTATAGAACAAAAGTTTCAACAAAAAAATAAAATCTTTGAGATTTTGATGTTGTTATAGTTGAATAGTACCACATTTTCATCTTCCCCTTCGAGTTTTTCAAATCTAGTTTTTATGCACATATCTTTACCTAACCCCATTGTTAGGCTTTGCAGGTATCACTGTTAATGGCTCTAAAGTATGTCATTCCTAAGAAAACATAGATGTCTTTATGTCGTTCATCAATGACCTTCTATGGCGAATGCTGCGAGGGGCGGCTATTGGGACAAATGTAGGTGGTAGAACGCCGTTCCATTGATTCTCTCGAATCATAGAATCAAATTCTCGTACTTTCTCACATTTTTCAAATCGATCTCATTATTATGAGCTTGTAAGGTTTGTGTGGCGTGGTTTGAAGCGAGGCTAGTTCTCTTTTGTCATGTTATTTACCTTTATTTACCTTACCCCAATTCTCCTTTTTAGGCTTGCAATTCAGAGTTCGGGGTTCCCGGTTCAGCGTAATCTATTTTCCTGATGATAACTTCCCACTACTGCCTTGCTTCAATGTTAACCTACCTATAACATCGAATAGTGTGTCTCATACTCAGAGCTTGCGCTACCTCCGTTTTGTTCGACAAACTGTAGGATTCTCACCTTTTCATTCGATTCTAAAGCTGTATCGCTCCAAAAGACCACTATAAAATTCTACAAAAAAGTTTCAAGAGCGAAATTTTGATTGGTTCTGAATCGAGTCATTTGGATTCGATTTTTGCACATCATTTTAGTGTGAAGTTCTTGAGTAGCGGCTAACGTCGCACGTTTATCTATGTTCGATGAATTTGATTTCCTATAAATGTACAATTGTGACGATAAACGTTATTTCAGATGTCGGGGGGCGATGACGCTCCCCTTAATGTGGACGAGTCCGATACAATGCAGCTAATACGACAGGTTTGAGCCACCAATATTTGAACTCTTTCATTTTGTTCAGTGTTCCCGCTTCCATTAGAACTCATGTTTTTGAGGTTTATTCCAATAAAAGGGCATTTGGTGCGACAGGTCGTGTCTTCTACGGTAATTTCCATTTTTGCAGAGTGAGAAAATCTCCGTGGTGTGTGACCTATTTCGCTCCTACTTTTACACCCTTACGGGATTATGACCTTTTTTAGGGCTGTGGTACTCAGATCTTTGATATTTCAAGATTTGCGCTCTCCAACGCAATAATAATAGAGGAACGCAAGCATCGCAAATGATCAATTTAGTGCGATCTCATCCAGTAGGGAGGGGGCATGTGAGGCGACAGCTCATAACGAACAGAGTAGTCCAGTTTTTGCAGGGTAGGAACTGACTAAGGGGTGGGTGTAAAAGTGGAAGCGAAATGGTTCACGCATCCTGAAGATCCTCCCCTTGCAAAAATTGAAATTTCCGTAGGCGGCAGCAACTGTCACACCAGGTCCCCCCCTTACTGGGTCAGATCAGTTTGTGAATCTTGCCATAGTCGTGTTGAGTAATACCCTGCATTGATTGGAACTTAGTTTGATTCTTATATTTTATTTTATCATGTAAATCTTTCATCCACGTTTAAAGTTGATACTCTTGGGTCAAAAAATCAACGGTTTCATACCATAGTGGGGCCTACGATTTAGTTGTTAGCGAACTTTCTAGGATCCTGAGACTTAGGTTGCAGTCCTGGCGCCGTCAATTTTCTTTTTATTCAGCATTTCAATTTCACTGTCATATGGTTTTTCCAAGCAGAATGGAACAACTACTGTACTTTCACGAAAGTACATCTCAAGTAAAACAAGAATGTTTAAGGCAGTCTTATTCGAGAACCTTGAACTAGTCACTGATTTGATTCGGGAGAATCCGTGGAGTCTTACAAGAACGGATCGACATGGCCGCACTCCTCTGATGCTTGCCGCTCATAACGGCAGGGTGGACAGTTTAAGAGCCTTGCTAGCATTAAGTGACAGTGAGTTTTTTCTGGTCATATCCATTCACTTCATTTCTTACAATTCTACTTGGATTAATAAGTTCTGTCATATACATTCAATAACCATGTGGTCAGAGGCATGCAAGCGTTGCGGCAAAATTCAAGGTTGCGTTCAGAGTTAGCGGTCTAGATCGTCAGTGATTAGGTCGTGTGGTTTAATCTCTACCCTATTGGTAAACTATGTGTTCACATCTTCAATTGTGAAAGCGCAATTCATTGTTGCCGGATTAAGAGTATCTAGATAGCAATGAGAGAAAGTCTCACAATTTGCATTATTTCGCAAGGGTTCAATGCTTCGTAGCATCCCTGACTCACAAACAGTTTTTTAATTGCTATCTGGTTAAATAGAGCAATGGATTATTGCTGTGTCCCGACTAACTATTCAATGCAGTCAATTTTGCAGATCATGTCAATGCGAGTAATGGTGCTGGTAAGACAGCGCTACATTTGGCTGCAGAGGCTGGCGAGGTTTCGGCAGTTCGGCAGCTTCTTGTTGCTGGTGCTGATACAGGACGGCGTGATGCAGCTGGCCACTGTGCGTTGGAATCCGCCCATATAGCTGGACATGATAATGTAGCTGCTGCGATTATTGAGAGTATTCGTGAGTTTTCAAACTGTTAGGTGACTTTCAATAGGGGCTAAAAAATAGTCAGATCCAAGGAAATTTCCTTTTCGAGTAACGTGGAGTTTCAGTGGATACCCACAGCATAACACGTCTACGAATGTCTTCTTCTAATGTGCTGGGGAGGGGTGAAGATGGGTAAGAGGGCCATGGAGACATCATCATCCTCGACAATGGCCTCATACTTCAAGGCGATGGGATATGATGTCACCTTGTGTGACAAAGTGACGAATGTTGCCTTGATGCTAGCTTTCGTAATTTTTTGTCGCGCATTGGGTCTCATTTAGGAGCTGTGGAGGTGTGAAGCGGCACGATAGAAGTGCAAGTTTACGTATGCATAAAGCCTAGAGAAGAAAAACATTCACACAACATTAAAACGGACATAATTTCTGGGTCTATTCCAGTTAGGGGGGCATCATGATGCAGTTTCTCGGCGAACTAGTGTGAACTCGAACATTCCAGCTTTTCACGCATGTCAAGTGACTGCCCTCACCCCCACCCCTAGACTGGCTACACTCCCCCTGGCTCGGAGTTACCCTAGCTTTCTGGAAAAACTGCATCATGATGCCCCCCCTAACTGGAATAGACCCCAATTTTTCATTAAAGTGCCAGTGTATCATTGTAAAAAGAGCGTTACATTATAACCATTAAAATTTACAGAACTCGAGAACGACAAACTCAATGAGGCGCATACTAATTTGATGATTGCTTGTGCTGAAGGGGATGTTGAGGCAGTTGATCGAATTCTAGCTGACTTTCCTGCGAAAGATCATTATGCGATACTCAACGGCCGTGCGCCCGAAAGTGACACTGCACTCTTCATGTAAGTATCTTGAGCTCTTCTTGGACAAACAATGTAAATAATGTTGGTGAAAAATTGCGCTTTATGGGCATCGCACAGCTACAGTTTTATTGTTGCAGTGCTTGCACGAATGGCCAATACGAAGTCGTGAAGCGACTGCTCGAGCCCAACTATGACCACGTTTTGGTAAATCAGAATACTAAAGACACTGTACTTCATGCCGCAGTGTCATCTCAAAACGTGGACGTGTTGCAAATCATGCTTGAGGTTTGTTGCTTACGATTCTATGATGTATTGAAATATAGCGCTCAAAAATGAACTATCTAGGCATTTCCGGCTTTGATTGCAAACTCCAACTGTGATGGTTGCTCTTGCCTCCACTGGGCAGCTGAAAGCGGCTCTACCGAGATTGTAAAGTGGTGTGTCTTCTTACATTTCTGTGCTGCTTTTGTTTCGGCTTTCTTTCTTTCCCTTAATTTTGATTCGTCTCACAATTCAATATCACATTTGATATTAGTCGACCACATATTCATCGCCCTGACTCTTACCGTAGCTTGATTAGAGAGCATGGGTTTTAACTCTCGAAACTTCGAAGGGTGGAAACAAGCTCTATTCTCGCGTTTGAATGTGTCTTGAAAGATTTTGTGATGCGCCTATAAAACTTGTGAATAGCACTATTTCGGGGGTGTCTTCATTCTTTTTATCGTCGCATGAAACTGTCTGGAGTAGAAGTAATTTCCAGCCTTCTCGAGTTTGAATATCCTGAACAATTCATCAAAGAGATTGATTTGTTGTCATGCCCTCCGTATCGGTCCGCTATTGATGTAAATCATGGCGATAACGAATGTAGAACTGCGTTGTACCGTGCTGCATCGAAAGGTCACACAAATGTACTTCAGTATATGTTAGCGGTGAGTATCTATCTCACGTTTTGATGTTCTAGTCTATGGTTGCGTAATTTTGTGAAATGAACTTGGTAAATTCTTATTTGCAGTTCCGGTGTCTATTCACTGATGGTGAGATGCGATGTCCGTTCCAGCTGGACGTGTACTGTAGTCGTGGCAGAACTCCTCTCATGGTTGCTGCGTACAATCAGTCCCTTCCTGTGCTTACGTATGTGAATTCTTATGCTGCTGTCAATTATTTTTGATTTCCACTTTGGTTAGTGGAGTTGGATTGAGAATTAGCCGGAGGGAGGATTTGTGAACAGAGCAATACGTTTTATTAAGAATCGTAACGGTACTGGCTACATACCGGATCATTACGGCGAAGTGTAAGAACCAGGAATTGTCTCAGTGCATTTACTTCCAACAGGAGTTTTTCCTAATTGTATGCAATGCGGTCGACTCCGAATGAAGGGACGTTGGTGGGTGGGCTGGCCTAGTTGCGCGGGATTCTTTTCACAGCTTCACACCACCTTCGCTCCATTCCTGTATTGAGCCAGATACTTGGGCTTTTTCTACAGACATGTGTCTTTTCACTTGCTTTTGCCAGTGCCATTCCATTAACCATGTTGATGTGAATATAATAAGTGTGAGCTTCGAATGCTATCAGTTTGTGAAGAGTTATTTTTAGCCTCTTACTGGATGCTGGTGCAGATGTTAATTTGCCATTGGCTATTTTGGATTCGGAAACATGCGAGGAAGCTCGATGCGTGGGTGAGGCACCATCCTAATCACTTTCCTTTCTGCTTACGTTTTCCCTTCAGTTTTTTTTGAGCTTTGAAGTCTTTACCAGCTTGAATTCTAATTTTTGAAGACCGCGAGTTTTTTTCTTTTTTTTTTCTTTTAG